TGGTCACTAGGACACATATAGGCAGTGGCATAGGAAGATGGGTGTGGAGTAGGGGGGGGGGGAATATGGTCACTAGGACACATATAGGCAGTGGCATAGGAAGATGGGTGTGGAGGAGGGGGGGGGCAATTTTTGTTTCCTTATTTGGAAGGGCGGCAATTTTCGACAAACTTTTTTGTTCGTGGAAGGGGTCGGACAAAAAGCTGCACTAGCCCCGGGTGGCACTAACTATGCCACTGCCCAGATGGCACTAGCGCCGGGTGGCACTAACTATGCCACTGCCCAGATGGCACTAGCGCCGGGTGGCACTAACTATGCCACTGCCCAGATGGCACTAGCGCCGGGTGGAACTAACTATGCCACTGCCCAGATGGCACTAGCCCCGGGTGGCACTAACTATGCCACTGCCCAGATGGCGATAGCCCCGGGTGGCACGAACTATGCCACTGCCCAGATGGCACTAGCGCCGGGTGGCACTAACTATGCCACTGCCCAGATGGCACTAGCGCCGGGTGGCACTAACTATGCCACTGCCCAGATGGCACTAGCCCCGGGTGGCACTAACTATGCCACTGCCCAGATGGCACTAGCCCCGGGTGGCACTAACTATGCCACTGCCCAGATGGCACTAGCCCCGGGTGGCACTAACTATGCCACTGCCCAGATGGCACTAGCCCCGGGTGGCACTAACTATGCCACTGCCCAGATGGCACTAGCCCCGGGTGGCACTAACTATGCCACTGCCCAGATGGCACTAGCCCCGGGTGGCACTAACTATGCCACTGCCCAGACGGCACTAGCCCTAACTACACCACTGCATATTGGTTACCTATTATGGACTATAACTATTTTTCTTTCTCCCTTAAACAGAATCGGACAAACTACCGGGTGCTCCTTTGGATTTCGTATCCGGAAATTTGTACGAAAGAAACTTTGGGTTCTATTGAAATTTGTTCGAACGGATTAAAATTTTTTTTTTTTACATGTTAAATAGAGAATTATTTATTTATTTTATTATGTTTTTAAGGAATGATGTGTGTGGGTGGTGGTGGGGGGGGGCGGGGGTGTAGAGTGGGGTAAATCTGAACTTTGAAATTATTTTATTCGTTTTCTCCATTATTTCATTGTAAACAAAGTTACATTCGAACAAACTTCTGTTTAAAAACGACTTGCTTCGTAAAAATTCCCTTCGAAATTTTTTTCCCCGCACACATTGTTTTGTTATATTGAGATTGAATGTGTTCTCTCCCTTTCAAGCCCGAATCTTTCTCAAAAGTCTGGGTTACATTCAGAGGCGTAGCGATGGGGGGGGGGGGGGGAGGGGGGGGGGGGGGGGGGGGCGACAGATGTTCCCGGGAGCAAGCTAGTTAGGGGTACCAAAATGTGCTTTGATATTATATTATTGGTAAAAATAATGGGTTTGAGAGTTGAAAAAAAGTAAAGGGGGCGCTTTAAAATGGATCTTGTCCCCGGGCGCGAATCTTGTCCCCGGGCGCCAAACACCCTCGCTACGCCACTGGTTACATTTCCTTATGGCGGCCAAGTCCAACCAATGGTAAATATAAAAACGTTTTGTTTAAAAAAATGCAACCAGTGATACCGATGCTTATTTTTTTCAATGTATTCCAGAACCCATTGAGAACCTCAAAACCAATAGTCTATTAGGTGAATTAATTCTAGGCTAATCAAAAAACAACAACCTTAAGTTCCGGATATTTGCGCATGCGCTGATCATATTTAGTTGGTGTAAATCTATTAACGCTGTAGTTGGTGTAAATCTATTAACGCTGTAGTTGGTGTAAATCTATTAACGCTGTAGTTGGTGTAAATCTATTAACGCTGTAGTTGGTGTAAATCTATTAACGCTGTAGTTGGTGTAAATCTATTAACGCTGTAGTTGGTGTAAATCTATTAACGCTGTAGTTGGTGTAAATCTATTAACGCTGTAGTTGGTGTAAATCTATTAACTATCACGATATCAAACGTGGCATTGGAGATTTAAGCACTGAGACTAAAACACTAAATACAAACATGTACTTTTCTGTAGCCTCATGGATTGCCCCCGACAGACGAATCTACTTCAAACTGGACAAACATTCCCTGATTAGGAACTTCCTGTCGTCTGGCACTGCTACCAAGGCCGCCATCTTTATCTCTGATCGGATGGCCTCGTTTCATGTTGTCTCAAACGTCACAACAATGGACGATGGAGACACACTCTCCCACACCTGGCCCGGCGATCTGTTTCAATAGCATGGTCCCATAAATGGTTCGCACTGCCCACCGTAGTCATGGTCCCATAAATGGCTCGCACTGCCCACCGTAGTCATTCTACTGTCACACCTTTTAGTGCTGCCTCCCTGCTCCCATCTCGAGTGCTCTGACTGGCAGACTTTCCTGGCAGTAGTTAGCTCGTTATGCTCACCAATCTATTTCATCTAACTTGGTCCCGTTGGTGGGGACATGGACAGTTTTATAATGACCAAATAGCTACACAAGAAGCTACATTTGGTTTCTTTATTCATCTTTCCCAAGCCGCTAGCAATCAATACAC